TTTCTTTCTTTCTTTCTTTCTTTCTTTCTTTCTTTCTTTCTTCCTTCCTTCCTTCCTTCCTTCCTTCCTTCCTTCCTCCCTTCCTTCCTCCCTTCCTTCCTCCCTTCCTTCCTTCCTTTCTTCCTTTCTTTCTTTCTTTCCTCTTTCTTTCTCTTTTTGAGACAAGGTCTCACTATGCACTTCAGGCTGGACTTGAGCTCACATTGTAGCCTAGACAGGCCTTGAACTCACAGGGATCCTCCTGCCTCAGCCTCCTGAGTCCTGGGATTACAGGCGTGTACCACTATACCCAGCCTTTCTTTCCCTTTTTATCCCACCCACCCAGGATGAACAACTATTGGTTGATGCTGCCCACACACAAGGTATCATATGCCCTTAATTAAGTCACTCCCAAAAGCCCTACCTATGAGCACATGAAGTTTTAGGGGTACATCTAGATATAAGCCATAACTTTATCTATCTATCTATCTATCTGTCTATCTATCTATCTATCTAACATCTATCTTTATTTATCTATCTACTATCTATTTTTTTGAGACAGGGTCTCACTATGTGGTTCAGACTGGACTTAAGCTCACTATGTAGCCCAGGCTGGCTTGAAACTCGTGGGGATTCTTCTGCCTCAGTCTCCCAAGTGCTGGGATTACAGGTGTGTGCCACCACACCTGGTTTAAAACATCTAAATGAGACAATACATTTTATATATTATACTATTTACAACAGTAAATTTTATGCTAGACATATTCCACCATGATGCAGATTCGCAGCCTGCCTCCCACCTTCCTTACCTGTCCCTTTCTTGCCAAATCCCCTGGGGCTGTGCTCAGGGCTGGCTCTGAGGTGGTATCACATCACAAGTGTGGCCTCCAGGGGCCACTGCCTCGCTGTGTGACACTGGTGAGTGCCTTGCCCTCTCTGGGCCTCAGTTCTGTGACAGCTGATGTAGCTCATGCACCCAGAGTGCCCTGGGGCCGTCCCTGTCCGGTGGAATCCTGTGAGTCTCACAGTTAGAACCCCAGGACCAGGGGAGGCCTGAGTGTTCTCAGGGACTGAGGGAGACTCCAGCTGGAAGTTGTCATGGAGACGCAGGACAGTGATAAACAACCCCCTGCCCCCCCCCCCCCCCCGCCCCCCCCCCCCCCCGGCTCGATCCCCCCTGGAGTTTACTCGACACCCACACCCACACCTCCGCAGCCCTCTCGTTCCACAAACATCCGGGAGCCCCGCTCTGTGCCCAAGAGAGACGGGAGGGGTCACCAATGAGGTCAGAGCTGGGGTGGGATGGCCGAGGAGGAGGAGGCCACAGCAGAGGCCAGCAGAGAGAGGCAGAGGGAGGGGTCTGTGGGGCCCTGGATAGAAGTTGCAGGGGTCACCCCAGCTTGGTGGCACAGGGGACAGTCACACTGCATAGAGAATCACAGGAGGAAGGGCAGGAGCCATCTGTGAGGGGCCTTGGTGTCCTGGAACAGGGGCATCATAGATGTCCCTGTCTCTACTTACCAGCCAAGGAAATGGGTTCACACAGGCAGGGTGAGTGCCCAAAGCCACCAGCAAGTTTCTGGGTCTGGAGTTGAGTCCTCACTCAATACTTGACAGCTCTGAGCCAACCGGTAGGAACTCGGGGACACATCACCAGCATGTGCATAACTCAACTCTTAGGATTCTCTCTTACAGGGAGGGAACAGAGGGGGCAAGTAATATACCCAAGGTCACACAGCTGGGAAGCAGCAGGGTCCAGACTAGAACAAGGCAGCTGGGGCATTTAAGCCCCCTGCACTGTGTGGGCTGGGAGACTGCAGAGTGAGGCGGTGGTATAGAGTGCTGGGAAGGCCCCAGAGATTAATATCTTGGCCACCTGCTCTGTGACTTCAGGCTACTCACACACCCCCTCTGGGCCTGAAGTTGGTGCATGAGACAGGAACACAAACTCTCCCAAGATCCTCCTCTCCCAGTCTGCCCATCCCCCCCTACCCCACAGACACCCCAAGAGAGAGGGCAGGCATAGGATGCAGAAGGGGGTGACACGGAGAGGCAGTGGCAAGATTAACCTTTCTCCCGATGCCTGCAAGATCCCCCCGGGTACTGTGGCGCCTGAGCTCCGGTCCCCAAGGACAGGGCCTAATTTAGAAAGCGTCTCCTTAAAGCCTGACTCACCCGGGGCCCTGGGTGGCCGGGCAACCACAGAGCTACCGCCCAGCTCAGCCTCCTCGCCCTCCCCGGGGCAGTGACTCCTGCCCCCTGGTGACTTCAAAACTCAGCTGGCTCCTGGGACCCAGGACTGCGACTGGACTCAAAGACCCGAGGAAGGAACCACAGGCGGTGGATCCCTGCTCCTGGAGGCCCCCTGGTACCATTGCCAAGGCGACATGGACTACAGCCCTTACACCCATTCTGAGGCATCAGGGGTGACTCGTAGCACCCCCTAAAGGCACTGCCCACAGCCTGGCCCTCTCTTGGATGCCTCCCCAGGCCTCAAAACCCAGCCAGGTGTGGGGGTACACACCTGTAATCCCAGGACTCTGGGAGGCTGAGGCAGGAGGATCTCAAATTCCAACCCAGCCCCTGGCAACTTGGTGATTTAGCAACACCATGTCTCAGAATTTAAAAACAACTTTTAAAAAGGGCTGGGGACGTAGCTCAGTACAAAAGGCCTAGATTCGATCCCCAATGCAGGCTCTCATCACCTCTCTGGTTCATTCAGAAAGGCCCCGCCTTCCTCACAGCCTCCAGAACACCTGCTCTATTCAGCAGGGTGGTGTGGGGGTCCCCAGCCCCGCGTGCCAGCAGCAAGTGCCACATTTCCTGCTTCCGAGGCAGGGACCACTTCACATGTATCATGCAGGCACATCACAGGCCTCCTGTGACACGGCGGCGCTGGGACCTTCACCCCAGCGGCCTCTCTCTGGAGCTTGTGTCTGAAAGCCACTCCGTTCCCTGGGCTGTCCCCGCCACCTACCCTGACCCCACATCAGGGGCGCAGCCGCTGTGGGGAGGCATCTGGCAGGGCTGTCTTGGGGAGCGCCCTGGTGTGGCCCCTGTGGACACCCAGAACCCCCCATGCCTCGGTAGGGCACTCTGGGAGCAGGGCGGGACGGTCTGTGACTTTGGGAACCACACTGTATGCTGTATCTCTGGGAGGCTGTGGTGGTCCTGTCTCCTGTCCCCTGCCGTTCCACTCCTGTGTCATTTCCCCACACTGTCACAGGGCTGGTTTGTATTATCAATCACTGGAACACTGGGTGTGTGGGGCACACAGCTGTAATCCCAGCTACTCAGGAGGCTGAGGCAGGAGGATCGCTTGAGTCCTACCTCAGCCTCCCGAGTGCTGGCTTTACAGCCCTGCACCACCATGCCTGCAAATTCCCCCTCTTCTTTATCCAGGAAGCACACAAGTCAAGTTTCGGGGTGTCTGACGGGCTGGAAAACCCACAGGAGCCCTGAATGTCCCTTTTTGTAAAAAGAAGACAATTTAAAAAAAAAAAACCAACTATAATGCGAATATTTTATTATCAACGAGTGACTGTTATTAGCTTTTTTGTCTGGGCATTAATAGTTCAAAAACCATACACCAAACCCAGGCTTTTCCACCTAGTTCTGCTGTATCATTTTCTTAAAAACAAAACAAAACAAAACAAAAAAGGAGAGGAAAGAGGAAAAGGAAGAAAATATATCTGTATTGAAAGAATTATAAGCCAAAGTGCGTCTTCCTCGCTTCATCCATATACACACATTGCACCATACATAAATAATTACATTGTAAAAATGACTCCATAATTACAAGTATAATATATATTTCCATATAATATATAAAACTTTATATTAAATCTAGGTAGATGATATCTGGGGTGCGTCCGGGCCGGGGAGCTGCTGGGCGCTATCTGTGGTGGTTGAGCAGGATCTCCAGCCAGCAGGGGCAGGAGGTGATGAACTGCCGCGAGTAGCTGGGGCCCCAGCCCTTGGCGAAGCTGATGCGCACGCTGTTGGGGTCGTAGGGGCCGTCGGTGGCCTCGGGCTCGGCCGCGTGCTGCAGCAGGTCCGAGCGCGCGAAGTCGAAGGCCTTGATGGAGTAGCCCGGTGGCACTTTGCGCACGACCAGGGCGCGGCCGCCCCCGCTGTTCCCGCCGCCGCCGCCCGCGGGCGCGTCCAGCGTGGGGGAGTTGACGAAGATGGGGTGCTCGCCGCGGTTGTAGGCCCACACGCCGTCGGGCTCCCTGCTGAGCACGATGCCGAAGCCGATCTTGCTGCGCGTGCGGCGCACGGACTCGCTGCGCGGCTCCAGGTGGAGCTGGCCCAGGCAGAAGCCGCTGCCCTGAGGTAGGTCGTAGAAGATGCTCACGGCCTGCTCCGACACCGCGTAGAGGCGGCCCACGCGCGTCCGGTGCTCCCAGTACGCCACGCTGCACCAGTGGCTCGGCTTGGTGGCGTCCGGAGACATGCTGGCGTCTGCGGGCAAGCACAGGGCACCGTTACTGGGCGGGGCCTGTTGCACGGTTGGGGCTCCGATGGGCTCATGGGGCACCTACTGTGCGCCGGGTGGGCCTCGAGGAGCAGCACACAGTGAGGGTGGACCGGCCAGATATGTCCAAGTCTGGACCCCACAGAGCAGGGGGAAGCAAATAGGGCAGAGAGCTAGTGCTGGGGTGTGGGGGTCCCAGCAGCCTGATGCTGGGCTGGCCTTGGCCCACACTTGTAGTCCCACCACTCGGGAGTCTGAGGCAGGAGGATCACTTGTGCCCAGGAGACCAGCCTCTGCTACCTAGTGAGACCCCATTTGCCAAACGAAAAGTAAGGCTGCCAGAGAGTCCCGCCTCAGCGTCAGTTCCCTGTGCACACCGGCCGAACTCCACCTCAGCTGACTCCCTCAGCAGGACCCATCTCAGCTCAGTCTTCCCCCAGGCCCCGCCTGGTTCTGGCCGATGGTCCCTGCCCTCCACGGCCCAGGCACCCCGTAGCCCGGGGCATGGAGACAGCGCAAGTCCGTGAGAGGTGACCAGGCTGCGGGCACTGGGCCTGTCCCACCTGGTGGGCAGCAGGACTTGCCACATCCCGGGCTCCGGTACCTCTAACTCCCGAGGCAGAGAGCAGTGCCATGCCAGCCTGGCCACCTCAGCTCCCGAGAATCCCCTCAGTGTGCCCGAGTCGTCGAGACAGGCTGGCAAGATGCGCCCAAAGGGCGCGGGGACAGGACGGCGACAGGTATCCCTGAGCCAGGTGCCATCTTCACCCATTTCACAGGAGAGGAAACTGAGGCCCAGGCTATACCCCTCCCTACAGCTGTGCGCTCGGCAAGCCCCTCCTCTGCCTGACCTCAGTGCCCTATCTGTAACCACGACTGCCCCCTGTCTGTGAGTCTGGAGGAGCTTGCTGTCCCCGTCTGAAGGATCTCTTTACAGTCCCCTCGGAGAGGGGTCACTATGTCCATGTCTACAGCAGGGCGTTGTGAGGGCCGCCAGCCAGCAGAGGCCGTGAGGGTCAGAGGGTGTGGGGGTCTCAGTACCAGGAGACGGGCATGAGCCAGGCCTCTCCCAGGGCCCTCCCCCTCCATGAGACCCATGCCCGGCCTGGCCCAGGACCTCTCGTAGGGATGGAGATTTTTTTTGAGGGGGGGACCTATGCGGTCTTGGCTGTCCTGGAGCTCCTGGCAATCCTCCTGCCTCATCCTCCCGAATGCTGGGACTACAGGTGCACACCAGCCCCTGCAAACTCCCTGGGGAAGCAGCCTGGTGACCTCATTGGCCCGGGTCCCTGGCCAAGTCTCCCAAGTTCCAGGCAGCAGACTGTGCCCCAGGGAAGCCCCCTCAGGCCTCTCCCTCCTGCGGTACCTTTCCATGCAGCGCCTCCCTCTGCCCAAGCAGGGTTCGTGCTGCTGCAGGGACCCCGGCTGCTCTATGCTCTCCCGGTGGGGAGCAGGGAGGAAATAAAGCTCACCCCAAGTGGCCCGTGGTCCCCACTCCAGGAACCCTGCCCAGCAGTGGGGCCAGTGGCCTCAGGCCTGCGGGCAGCAGAGGGGCGGTGGGCACAGGTGCGGGTCTCTGCGGGACCCTGGAGGAGCCTGTGACATCATCTTCTCCTCCAGGGGACCCAGCCATTTGGGCACGCACCAGCCGGCATGCTCTCTGTCGGGGGCGGAGGTGACCATGCTGTCGTCGCTCGCTTTCTGTCTCGCTTGCATTTCTTTTGCCACAACCCGCAGAAAACTGCACTAGTGGAGCCCCAGGACCCTGGGTCTGGAAGCTGGCGCCTCGGGGGTTACAGAGCGACTTGCCTGGGGACACATGGCAGAGGGTGACAGTGGGGACTAGAACTTGAGGCTCTCCGATGAGCCGAACATTTCAGAGGAGACAGACAGAGGCCACCCTGAGCAGATGTGCAGCCCGGATGGACCGCTGGCCGCGCCCAAGCCTCCATCCCGTTAGTAAAAGGGACAGCTGTGTCACCAGGTGCCTCGCTCAGCCGGCTCTCGGCGGCCTTTCTGCAAACTCCGGCAGCAGGTTAGCGGGTGCAGCGCCTGGCTGACCAGTCCCCGCCCCCTTTCCCCTCGGAAAGCAGGGAGCCTCCAGTCACCGTGGTCACAGCCAAGCCCCTCCCCCGGCACTGCAGTGACACAGGTGTTGGGGGGAGCTAAAGAAGGAACAGGTGACTCTGTCCCCACACCTGCACAGGTCCTGGGATGTCACAGGGTGTGTCCCCACCAACCCCCCCGTGCTCCCTGTCCACAGCGCAGGTCGCCACTCTGGGGGCAGAGGGACAGCCTTGTGCAGCAGGGTCTTTCCCTCCTTGCGCTCCAGTCTGCGGTCCCACCCTCTCCCACCGCCGTCAGCCTAATTAGGAAGCAGCTCTTTAATTGCAAATAAATCCCCGGAAGTCAGACCAGACTGCGTGACATCAAAGCTGACCTAGCGCTGACCGGAACTCCCGCTTGTTGCCCCCTGCTCAGCCTGGTCTCCTTCCCAGCCAGATGCTGGGTCCCGGCGATCAGAAGTCCTGTCCTCTGGCCCTGACCTGGCAGGTCACCACCTTCCTCTGGCCTCAGTCTTCTCATCTGCACAATGAAGCCAGTACTTTAACTTTCAGTTCTAAGTATCTGTGATTTGGTGAATGTTCCCAGCAGCCCCAGTCATGACCCCTACCTGCAAAGCAGCTGAGATGTCAGTGGACAGGAGGATGGACCCAGGTGTGGCGGTATGCATCTGTAACCCCAGCTACCTGAGAGGCTGAGGCAGGAGGATCTCAACTTTCAGTCCACACTGGGCAATTTAGACCCAGTCTCAAAATAAGAAACAGAAAATAGCTAGAGTTTTGCTCAACCCCTGGGTTGGATCCCAGAAACAGAAAAAAAAAAAGGATAAATCAAAACTAGGCACATTGATCCACAGACTCCACTTAGCATAAAGAACAAATGGCCAAAACAGGCGACGTTGTGGATGAATATCAGGAACATCCTGCTGAGCAAAAGAAGCCACACCCAGAAGACATGCTGTCGCCACTGATGTGCAGTTCTCGGGCAGGCAAAGCAGTCTGTGGTGATGGTTCTGTGTGTTCAAGGGCTCGTCCTCAGCAGCACGGACAAAAGGAAAAATAAAATCGGCAGTGAGCGGGCTTGGGGGTGGGGGGCTTGGGAAGGGGCACAAGGGAATTTCTGGGGTGAGGGCCATGTCTGGTATGTTGACTGCAATGACAAGAACTCAGGAGGCTGAGGCAGGAGGATCACTGGGAGTTCAAGGCCAGCCTGGGTTACATAGCCAGATCCTATCTCAAAAAACCAAAACCAAAACCCGTCACGCTCCAAACACGTAGCTGAGCCTTTCATGGTAGGCAGGACGGCTTTGAAGAAGTTGAAAAGGAGAAAGTGGCGCCGGGGCGCGGGTGGGTCAGCTTGCCAACTCTGTCCTGAAGGGGCCTCGGCAGAGCTGCGGTGGCCCTGAGAGCTGTACCTCGTGGTGACACCCGCATTCCTGCCACCAGAGGGTAGCGAATGCTGCACGGGGCGGAGGAGCGGCGGGAGCAGTAGGCTGCCCATGCACAGCCCGCTGGGCACTGCCCTCGCCCTGCCCAGCCAGGGCACCAGGAGCCTACTGTGTGATTTTTCGGGCTCCCGGGGCACCAAGGGGGCTGCCTGCAGTCTGCAGGTACCAGGGAGAGCTGAAACCTCAGGAAAAGCCATTCAGTTGTTGGAATCAGCAGTTTTCCGTGAAAACGAAGAGCAGGCAGGTCCCGGCTCCCCGGTCCCTGTGCCCGTGGGCTGCAGCCCCTGCTCCGTGTTTGTTTTCCTGCACTGCCCTTTGCCTTCTGCCAAGCAGCCCTGGGCTCAACCATCCCCCAAAGGGACCCCAGATCAGTGAGAATGAAACAACGGTGCCCCCACTGGCCCAGCTCCTAGAGAGAACCGAGGAGAGAGACTTGGGTGCTCAGAAGACCAGAGAGGTTAAGTGACTTGCTCAAGGTCGCCCAGCAAGTTGGCAGCAGAGCCAGAGAGGAGGCTGGGGCTTGCTCCTTCCCTTTGCACAGGGCTGCACCGGGCCACCAGCCCTCCTGGAAAAGTCCTTTCTTCTGTCCCGGTCATGCCTGTGGCTTCGAGTTCCCATCCAACCGGGAGCTTTTCATCTGCGGCTCCCAGGCCTGGGAGTAATTACCTGGTCCTGCATCTGGTTAACCTAACACCCCTTTTCAAGTCCTGTTTGCCCATTAGATAAGTAGTTTTTGTTATCAAACTTAGAGAAAAAAGGAGTTTCCACTTAACCCTCCTTTGTCCGAGGCTTCAGGTCCTGCAGCGCTCAGAGGGACAGGGCATTAATTAGAGGCCCCTTTCCTCCGGCTCGGCTCGCCAGGGGAGGGATGTGCGCAGGGCTGCGCTGACGGTCAGCAGCCTCGGCTAAGCTGCACCCGTGCGCCAGGAGCCGGGCCCAGCTGACCGCGTTTCCTCCTCCCCCTCCCACCCACCGGCTCCCCGCCCCCAGCACCTCTGGCTCCGGGAGGAAGCCAGGCTTCCAAGAGGAAGTTCCTAATCGCTCACTGCATCCCGGGCGGTCTGGTCACCGTGCGGCTGGCCTTGTGGGGCCCACCTCGGCCGGCCCCACCTCAGGGGTCTTCTGGCTGTGGGCCTTGGGGCCAGGGTCCGTGCTGGCCACCACCGGGCAGACCGCCACTCGGATCCCCTGGAGGGGTCTGCGACCGGGGGCAGGGGCAGAGGAGCGAGGCGCTCAGTGGCCAGACATGGCTGTGGTACAGGAACGGAGACCCAGAGAGGTTATGGGACGTGTCAAGGTTGCACAGGAAATCAAGTGTCCTCTTGCGCAAGCTGTGTTGAGTGCAGGTTGCCAGTTTGTAAATCCCCATCGTTATGCAGCGCTGGGCAAGTGACCTCAACCCTCTGGGCCTCAGTTTCCTAGACTGTAAAATGGGGGTGCAAACCAGGAGTAAGTGGTACACACCCGTAATCCCAG